TGGAGCCTGGGGAGTCGTTCCGTGCAAGAGGTTTTCTGCACACGGGGCAGGTCCCTCGAGGACCTTTTGAAGAGGTATCTGCTCTTTGTTCTTCGCTGAATTTCAATGTATCGATGATACATTTGTGGCAGAAGAGGTGCCCTACGTGCACCAGTCAGCACAAAGAATCTCCCATTTCAAGTGTGATATTTACCGCATATTGTACTAGTGGCATCCTCCGGTGTATCCATACATACAGGACACTTATATGAGTTTAGTATTGATTGCCCCTTCGCTGGCTCAACGGATTGTTGGGCCCTAACAGCGTCCTCCCGTTGCTTCGCTAACACCTTCGCTAATGCTGGGGGACCCGCCGCCTCTGTTAAATCAATGGATTCAATGTCATCTTCGTGTTGATCCAGTGCAGATTGAGCATCTCTAGTTGCTACATTAGAGCTACTCAAACGACGACGTTTTCGTCCCTCGCCTCGGGTTTCTAAAGACTCAACATGGTCGGAGGGTCGTGGGCGACGAGGAGGGGACACTTGTATAGTATGAGAGCTGGAATGTAACGGAACGTGGTGTGAATAACTCCGATTCATGGCTCTAAAAGCGGTATCCAAGGATGTGGGAACAGAATACTGGAGTGTCGCGAATACGAGTCTTCTGCGGCTCGGGAAGTATCGTAAATCGGTAAAGCAGGCCTTTAAAGCTGAACAACCAGCTGATATGCAAGCTTAGATTTGATGAAAGTATTCCCAAACCTGAGACACAAATGAGACATATGTCAGGCGCAGGTGAGATAGGCTGTCTTAGACATAAGCACTGATAGTGGCGAGGATCTGCAGCCGGGATTTAGTTATCGGCGGTGTTGATTATCAATCACCTGATGATAACAAGCAAAGGAGCATCCTATCATGGCAGGCGGTGAAGCTGATACGGAATATAGTATATTCGTCCGCGTATCATCATGACGGCGATACCGCGATAGGAAAGAATGTACAAATCCTTGGGAACGCCAAAAAGAGGAAGCCCCTTCACATCAGTTTCGCGCAGCACCGGCTGCGAGCATCAGCGCATCAAGCCATGGGCTTATTTAAATCGATCTCCTACACGACCTAAGATGCTTTGGAGTCATTCTTGCACTCCCTATTCTAGGGGTGTTATACGTTCCTGCTCGCAAAAATTGCGCTCGCCACTCATCTCCACGCCACGGCCATTATCACTCGCGCGGTATTACTTTTCGCAGGTACCTACGCAGGAAGATGACTCAAAACCTAGACAGGGATCTCTTTCAGGTACTTTCGCATTGCTCCATGATTTGTGACCGATAAGCGCAGGTGCTGATTCCGCAGTTCCCTCCACGGCTAGGTTCAATGAGATCGGAGTCCAACAATTGAGCGACCATGTATTTTCACAAGTTTTTCCGGTCAAATCGGAACCGCCAAACCCAGAATTGGTTGCGTTGTCGAAAGAGCATCTCTCGAGGCATGACCTGCTCGGCAAATCTCAAGATGCCACGGAACCGGTAGCGTTCGATATGCCTCCTCTCCAGGGGCAGACGTTAGATGAGCATTTTTTCAAGTTAGGCATGGATGCGTCAGAGCCTTATCTTACATATGCTAAGGATTATATCCAAGTTAACTCTCCGAGCATTCCGCGCAATTGGATCAAACGCAGTGGTTGGACGAAATATTATAGTGACGGCTCTTCAGAGCCCGTGGATGCCCCGAATGAGTCAATGTTAACTTTCGATACGGAGGTGATGTGGAAAGAGCATTCCTTTGCTGTAATGGCTTGTGCTGTCAGTCCTACAGCCTGGTATGCGTGGCTGTCGCCCTGGCTGCTGGGGGAATCGGACAACCATATTCAGCTCATACCGTTGGGAGACATCTCACAGCCGCGCATTGTCGTGGGCCACAATATCGGCTATGATCGCGCCCGCGTATTGGAAGAGTACGATATGAAACAGACGCGTAATTTCTTTCTCGATACGATGTCGCTGCATGTAGCTGTGAATGGGATGTGTTCCCAACAGAGACCTACTTGGATGCGCCACAAGAAGAATAGGGACTTGAGGGACAAGATTGCGAATGAGAATAACTCTGTCGAGCTTGCAGCTCTTCTTGAAAGCAAAATGCTCAGCGACGAGGAAGAGGAACTATGGGTAGGACGGAGCTCTGTGAACTCCCTCCGCGACGTTGCCAAATTTCATTGTGATGTCACGATCGACAAGGCGCAACGAGATGATTTCGGCGAACTCTCAAGAGAAGGGATTCTAGAGAAAGTGGATGAGCTACTGGATTACTGTGCTGCAGATGTTGCCATCACCCATCGCGTTTATAAGAAGGTTTTCCCAAATTTCCTTAAAGTCTGTCCCCACCCAGTCAGTTTTGGGGCTCTCAGGCATCTTTCTTCGGTTATTTTGCCAGTCAATCAGACCTGGAAGGACTACATTACCAATGCCGAGGCAACCTACCACCAACGACTTGATGACGTGCAAAGAAAGTTAGTTGAACTATGTGACGAAGCCTTGAAGGTCAAGGACCAACCGGATGTGTATATGGAAGATCCCTGGCTACGACAGCTGGACTGGTCTGGCCAGGAGATCAAAATGGCCAAAGGAAAAAAGAAAGGAGATCCTCCTCGACCAGCTGCGAGGCAGAAGAAGCCGGGTATGCCAAAATGGTACAAAGATCTCTTTGCCACCAACACAGCCGATATCAATCTTACTGTGCGAAGTCGGACTGCGCCTATATTACTCAAGCTATCATGGGATGGATATCCACTAACTTGGTCCGATAAACACGGCTGGACGTTTAAGGTTCCACGAGATCAGGTCAAGAAATTTGAGAACCAGCCTGTAGTGCTCTGTGATATGACGGAAGAGAAAATAGCGGCATTACGGGACGACAGAAGACATGTCTACTTCAAACTTCCACACAAGGATGGACCGCAGGCCCGGTGTGTTAATCCGCTGGCCAAAGGATACATGCAGTATTTCGAACGTGGGACTCTCTCTTCTCAATATGCGCTGGCCAAGGAAGCTTTGGAGATGAATGCTTCTTGTTCATATTGGATCAGCGCTCGGGATCGAATCATGGGGCAGATGGTCGTCTACGAGGATGAGGTGCAAAAATCTCACTCGAGCAATGCAGAGAGCAGGACAGGATTTATCTTGCCTCAAGTAATACCAATGGGTACTATTACGCGACGAGCCGTCGAAAACACATGGCTTACTGCAAGCAACGCTAAGGAAAACCGTGTTGGATCTGAACTTAAAGCCATGATCAAGGCGCCACCCGGCTATGTCTTTGTTGGCGCAGATGTTGACTCACAGGAGCTCTGGATCGCGAGTCTTATCGGCGACGCGCAATTTCAGATTCACGGTGGTAATGCGATCGGTTTCATGACTTTGGAGGGATCCAAGGCAGCAGGAACCGATATGCACTCACGCACTGCCAAAATTCTAGGGATTTCGCGCAACGATGCCAAGGTTTTCAACTATGGCCGAATCTACGGCGCTGGCGTAAAATTTGCCGCTTCATTATTGCGTCAGTTCAACCCTTCCATGTCAGAAAAGCAAACCCAGGAAGTTGCGACCAAGCTGTATCAAGAGACGAAGGGTGCACGTACGACACGTCGCATTCTAAGTGATAGCCCCTTTTGGCGGGGAGGCACGGAATCTTTTGTCTTTAACAAGCTAGAGGAGTTTGCTGATCAAGAGAGACCGAGAACGCCTACATTGGGTGCCGGCATCACAGAGGCGTTAATGCGGCGTTTTATCAACCGAGGCAGCTTCATGACATCGCGGATCAACTGGGCAATTCAGTCATCTGGTGTTGATTATCTTCACCTCCTCATTATCGCCATGGACTACCTAATCCGGCGCTTCAACATCGCTGCTCGTCTAGCGATCACTGTCCATGATGAAATCCGATATCTTGTCAAAGATGAGGACAAATATCGCGCTGCTTTGGCTCTACAGGTAGCTAATGTCTGGACTCGAGCCATGTTCTCGCAGCAAGTTGGCATCAATGACCTCCCTCAGTCTTGCGCCTACTTCTCTGCAGTTGACATTGACCATGTTCTTCGGAAAGAAGTAGACATGGATTGCGTTACCCCTTCGCATCAACACAAGATCCCACATGGCGAAAGTCTAGATATCGTCCAACTTCTGGAGAAGAATGAGGCTGCTTGTCTAGACCCTTCGATCATCCCGAACTCCCCTCCCTCTCCTCAGAACTATACATACATACCACGAGAGTCCGTGATGTCCACTCTTCAGTCCACAGATAACCCTGCATTTATCAGAGCCCAGATCACCAAGGATGATAAGGAACTTCGGGAAATCATCAAAGAAGTTACTAAGGCCAAATCTGCTTCCGGACCGTCATCGAAGGCACGTTCTCAAAGTGATCGTGCTAAGTCTGCCAATTCCTGTACAGCACAGCCTCAGAAGGCCATTCTAGTCGACGTCGGGTCGGGTCTTTACAGTGACTTTCATGATCTTCCTCCGGGGAGCAGGCATCCCCAGGTCAACTTGAACCGACAAAACTGGAAATCCCGGCCATCTGCTCGGGCATAAATGCTTCGGCCCGATCATTTCGTCAACCACTTCCCTCTTTCCCTTATTTTATGTATATATAACCTGATCTATTCGGGTCTGGACATGATGCTTTCTTGTTATTTTTTGTCCCTTCTCTACTTTCTTGTATTCCTAGTTAGACCTGGTTGGGGAAGCATTGGGTGGCGTCTCATCTGGCTGTTTCGGGTGGTACGAAGTATCCATCTTACATTATGTGTTGTCTACGATAAGACATGTTGATTGTGATGCTATAATACTGTACATAATTTCTGGGAAAAAAAATACATATAATCAAGACAGTTAATACACTGTAGTAGTTCTCCCGCTCCATCCTCTACCAAAGAAAGATCTAATCAGACTTAATCTACAGAAAACAGAAGCCCACCACATATATTGCGCCATAAATTTACCCATATATCAAGGGAAAATTCATCTATCTCTTCCTCCCAGGATCTAATGTATTCCTTCGGCTTAAGCCATTCTTCTCCCCACCCCGAAGCATCGCATCACCCTTCTTACCAAGCACCACCTCAAGAGCCTGGACCAAAGCCGTGGCATCATACTTCATTCCAACAGGCGTCTCAGCACCACCCGCATCCGTCGTGACGATCTTCCTCCCGTAAAGACGAAGCGTCTCGATCCCCATCTCAGCGAGCCGTTCACGATCTACCTGTGGCGTCCCAGGACCCTCTAGGTGAAGAAGATGCGTGACATACGACGAATAAGGAAGACCCAGACCTGGAATCGACCTATGAGTACTAGTATTCGAGGCAGAAAGAGCCATGCGACCACGACTTTCCTCCCCGGCGCGAGTGATCGCCTCGACGAAGTTCACCGCCGTGAAAGGTTCAGACGGGGGGCCCGTTTCTCGGTCTAGGGACCCGTTCAGGATCAGAATCTTATGTCGAGCGGGACTCGTCACGATGGCCTGTCCCACGCCGCGCAGGATCAGAGACGGGATGAGAGACGTGTAGAGGGAGCCGATGCTGTAGATGATGGCCTGCGAATCACGGATGGCTTCGAGAACGCGGGGATTGGCCGGTGGTCGGATTTCCTGGCCGTAGGGGTTGATGTACCAGATGCGGGTGATGCGGGAGGGGAGATCCTCGTTTTCGGATTTGGAGAATTGGATGTTTTTGTTGCGCAGGGTGGGCAGCGAGCCTGGTGGGTGGTCGTCTTCGTAGGAGTGCGTGTCGGAGGTGTCGGTGTCTGTGAAGTCGTCGGCGCCGTCCGCGAGCAGTAGGCTTGGGCGTCTGGGGCGGGGCTGGAGGGCTGTTGCTTCGCTGGGGTGGGAGATGCTGTTCTGGCCGACGATGATGGAGCCGTTCGCGAGGGAGGCGGAGATGTGGTGGGAGAAGTTGGAGTTGATGGCTGGGATTACGCGGACGGTGTCGGATGGCACGCCGCAGATGCTACCAAGGAGGTAGATGGCGCTTTCGAAGCTGCCGCTGAATAGGCGGGCGCCGGTTAGGAAGAGATTGCCTACGCTGGCAGAGGTGAAGTCGAAGGTTGATGATGGGGCCGGGCACGCTTTAGGATCTCCAGGTTGAGAAGGTTGAAGAAAGAGCGTATGAGTTCTTTCTTTGCTGGCGTAATGGCTTGCCAGAGCGTCGATGTGCCATCTACGATGGAGAGCCATTCTGCGTGGGCGGTGGCTGCGTGCGCTGACAGTCGATGATTGAAGAGGGTCTTTATGGCACCCCGTTCGGAATTCGGGGGCGAGTCTGGAATCAGACGGACCAGTCTACCTGTGCTTGTTCGTTAGAACAGAGAATAACAAGAGTGGGTGAGTGCTTACTTCTCACGTCGCCAATTCCTGGACCCCCGAAGATGCGGATCAGCTCCGATGAGGAACCTCCGTTGTCACTGATGGGAATAATATAGCTCAATGGGCAGTTCTTGGTGTCGCGCACTGTGTCGAATACCTCGACTAGATTGTTGGCAGCACTGCCTCCCGAAAAGACTGCAATACCCCTGTTGGGGGTGGGAGTGGTCGACATACTTAGGAGCTTGGCAGCGACGATCAAACGGTGAAGCAGGAACTAGCGAAGTGGAGATATTAATGCCTTACGAGTAGGCAGGCACGATCACTTATATACTCAAAGTCTGGCCGTAATATCACGTTTCACATTTCAAGGTCACGGATATTATAAATATATCATTTCGCAACCTGGCCAGATGGCATTAGCCAAGACTCCGTAGGGTATGTAGTTCCTCAATTGAAGGGCAGAAGATAGAACATGCCAGTGTTGGAAGCGGTTGGAACTATATGATTGACTGCTCTGGGGCACGTGGTCATGAATTCTCAGGTACGAACTACAGTGGAGAAGAAGTAAGAGAAAGTGAGACGTCTGCCAGTCATGTAGGTTCTGGGAGAAAAAGTCACTGATAATGGAGCCGAGGCCATCATTGGATACCGTGCCCTAAGATGGATGTAACCTAGAATACTAGTCTTTTGGATTATGTACACGTTTAAGAAAGCATTTCTCAACAACTGGGTCCCATAACTCAGTCGGTTAGAGTGCTGAGCTAATAACTCAGAAGTCGAGAGTTCGAGCCTCTCTGGGACCATTCTTTTTCTTTTTGTGTCTGTTCTTTGCTACATCTACTCTGACATTCTCTCTGCCTCAAACAAACTTCTTCCCTTTCTTTTCTTTTTCCCATCCAAAAGGGAGCTGGCAGTAGTATCTCACTTTGTCTCTCCACTAGGCAGCTCTATCCATGGAGATGTTCAGGTTTTGCTCTCACATTAATTAGAATCAAATGTGCCATAGAGGATCGCTATATATATATGTACACGAAGCATGTAAAACTTTTAGTATGAATACTAATACGTAGGCTACTAGAAACGCAGCGTAACACCGAACCCCATAAGCCACATATATCGTTCATCCGTAACAAGCCAACAACACACAGCCGCACTATTAATTTGTATCATCGCATTAAGCATAGGCAGCCCAACCTAGGGAAGTTTGTTAGCACCTCGGGTACAACTGGTTTAGGGTAACGTTATACAGAACATACCACAATACAGGACGGCCAGATTCTTTTCATCGGTTGCTTGCTGGATCAGCTCATTTACAGTAGCCGTAACACTCAATGTCTTGCCCAACTTCTTTGCTACAACCGTCAACGCACGATCGGCCTCGCTTGGTTCATTGCTTGGCCGTTGGTCGGCAGCACCGGGCAGCATGGGAGGCCCGCCCCCGGCTTCGGGGGCGTCTTGCATCTTCATCATCCTCAAAGGAGACACAGTCCAGCTGTAAAGTGGATCGTAACGAAGCACGTCAAGGATAGTCATGATACTGTAGGACTCTCGTCGTAAGGTTTCAAGCGTGAACTCGCAACAGCGGCGGAAGACACCCTCGGTCTTGGTAATTCCCATTCCATCGACAAGGTCTCGTGTCAAACGGAATGGAACGACTTCGGGAACCGGAAGCACTCGGCCTTGTTCGAATGCAACCCCCAAGTCGATATGGACCACTTCGCCAGTCCTCTCGTCTAGCAAGATATTATGGCCATGGCGATCACCGAGACCGAGAACATGACCCAAGATTGAGATGGCAGCCGTGCTTCGAGTATACGAAAGCCTTTTGCTAAACCAGTCGTCTGGATTGTTAAACTTTTCCATGAAGAAGTATTTCATAACAGGATGGAAGTGTTCAGTAACCTGTCGGTATGTCCTAACGCGTTGCTCAAGTGATCGTGTCTGAACATCGCTGATGTGCTTGCGGCAAACGTTTGGTTTCATGTCCTTCGGATAGTATTTTTGATGTGCAGGCATCAGATAATCATGCAAAGGGATGGTGTGTGGCACGAATTCGATTATTCCCGCATTCGACGTAAGAGGCAAAACCTTGTATGTGCGAATTCCCAGATTCCGCTGCCGAGTAGCCTGATGGTCCTTAAGAAGATTGCTAACTTGTTCAAATACTTGTTCCATGATAGCGTCTTGCCGCAAATCATCATTCCCTCCTTTGAACTTCCGGTATTGTTAGCCTAACATTCGCTCCAGACGCCATATCAATCGATGCTCAATGCTTACCAACTGCTTGTACCGTAAACCATTACTTGCATAAGCCGAGACAATCTTTGGCGCACTGACGCCGGATGCGATAGTGAACTCAGGGTGGTACCTAACAAGCTTCGGCACATCACTATAATCGCAATCAACTCTGATTTCAATGTTCATTGTGGGTGGTGGTAGTTTCTGTGTTGCGGCATCCTGTTCGAGGCGTGCGCCAGTTTGGAGTTTCCGCAGCGGAACCCTGGCACCGCTCTTCAATTTTTCATCTGGCCTATCAATGGCAAATCGTACATAACTGATATTGGTGTTGTGAACAGCGACCCATGTCGGCCCAATATGCTTGTCGTTCTTTAGGCCTTCAACTAATCGTCCGGCTGCTCGATTGCGTGATAGCGCTGATTCATCCTTTCCTCCCTTGGACTTACTGCTCGCAAATATTTGATACATACCATGGAATGGGTGCTCAACACAAATGCGAGTAATCAGAGAGAAGAGCATCTTCTGGAACTCATCAGACACATCCAGCAGGCGCGAGGTTAACTGGTTCATCAAGGGGGCAAATTTTCGGCTTGGTACTTGACCGAGATGCTTGGAAACAGCCGCATTGGCGATATCACTGTCAGACTTGTCAAGCCACAGTGCACAGAAGCGGAGGACGTCATTGTTGTAAGTTTCGCTCTCTCTTAGGCAAAGGAGATAGTTCTCGAGACATTGTTGTAGGAAGGCTTCCCGACTTCGTCGCAGACGTTGGTATTCACGGTCATCAAGATCAAACCACTGCTTTGTCTTTGTTCGATGAAATTTCAGAGCCTCCCTCTCCCTTCCCTCAGCAGCCTTCATCATATCTTCCAATGCTTGCACTTCCTTCTCCTTACGGTTACGTAGTTGCTCAACTCGCGTAAAATCTTCCAAACCATCGGGGTTCTGTAATTGTTGGTCGCAGAATGTGGCAAATCCGTGATAAACTCTCCCGGCTTCTTCACCCCCCGAGCGGCCTTTTAGCTCCTTGACTGCGGCTAATAAATAGTCTTGGATGATAATCTCTGGTTTCTCGAGGCGTGCCTCAGCGACATGGTGGCCCTTACAAGCAATAAATTAGCCTGGAACGAGCAGAGTTTTGTATGAAAGGAGTTAATATAGAGAGCGCTTACCAAAGTCACGAGAAGTTCTGCACGGCTGATTGGTACCGCCTGTTTATGTAGGTCATTTTGATCCTTGAGATGGTGAAGCATTCGAATTGATACAGTCATTTCACCTTGATCCCATAAAACATTAGCTAGATCGAACTTGGCGGCCCCTTCAATGTTGATCCCTAGTGTAGAGCAGTGGTGTGCGAGCTTAGAGAGGCACACGGCCGATTTCAGAGAAGCTTGCTGGATGCCCTGGGCTCTTGTGATATGAAGTGATTGCCTAATGGCTTTGACCTCCAGAAGCTGTGCGTCATGATCGCTTATATTGGCCGAAGATCTTAAATAAGCCTTTCGGTTGATCGATGAGAAGAGGGCTTCATGTGAGTTTAATATCTCACCAATCTCATGAACACTACCTGAGTTAGACGTATGATTGTTTTGCAGAGTATCGGTTCCATACCTGGTGGTCTTCAGCCAAGAGTCCCTGGCAGCGATATCCTGCCACTCATTGTTTATTTCTTCCGTTGATCTGGCATCCAAAACGTCACTGACTTCAGTAATAATCCCAAGAACCCTCATTGCAGTTCGTAAAGACATAGCAGACTGGCTGGTGCTCGTAAGAGACTCCAAAGTTGTCAACAGACACTCGTTGATAGACTTAGAGGCATCGATCAGGCTCCCTGACGTGTTGAGACTTTGGAAAGCCCGGAAGACGGTTGCGGAAGGTGAAGGATTCAAGGGCGAGACGGGTATATCCCATTGTCGTAAATTTGTTGCGGCTTGCAGCATGCTATCAAATGAACTTGATCTGTCATTGAAACCCCACCCATACGCCGAGAATATGGAATTAGCAATTCCCTGTAGATTTGTCGAGTTGAGTGCCTTAAGAACACCATAGGCGTTTGGGTCTGCTGACATCTGTATCTCGCTATCATACTGTGCACTTTGGAAGAGGAGATTCTTAAACCCTGAGCTTTCATGTTGGAGCCTTTCCATAACTGAGTCCAGGGAGGGGCTTTGTTGGATTCCGTAAAAGGAATCAGGGTCATCTATGTCCTTGAATATGCCATGTAACATGTCCGAGGGAGCTTCGTATTTGGCCAGCGAGGAACGGCGAGAGCCAGAGATTACACGAGATGCATGTATCTCAAGGAAGAGGAGTGCTGTCTTCGGTAAACGGCACCTACTGGCAGCCAACGATGCCTCTGCGAAGTCTATCTCCAGCCATTCATTACGTTCGACTATTGTCGCCTCATTCGGTTTCGGCTGGTTTCGAAGATATAGAATGCAGTTGATTGCAAGCCGTGCATGTGAGATAGTAGTGTCATGAACATCACACAGAGCTTGTTTGAAAATTTGGGAAACCTCCTGTCTGATAACTGCTTCTCCTTGGAATTCTGCAAGCAGAACATCATGAAGCATGTATGGTAGGATTTGGACGGCTAATTCAGGGATAACATAGAGAATGTGGGTTAGTGACCCAACCACAGGATCTTCAGCAGCAGCTTTTGACAAGAATAACGCGATACTGCGAGCCCATTGAGATAAAGGGTTGCTTGTCTTCCAATTCAATTTGGGGTCATCTCCTTCTGTGTTTGAAGTAAGTATTGGTATGGGTGGGCACTGATAGGGGCTCCATGTGAAAGCTTTCATCAAGTAGAGAGGTACGACACTGATGCATTGTTCAAAATCCGGATACCTGGGAAGTTTACTTATGATGAGTTGCAATGTTCGCTCAACGAGTCCCACCTCCAGATGGCTGTTGTTCTGTAGCATGTTGCATAGTTCTTGAAGTATGCTAGCTTTAGAATAACAGTGGACATCTAAGTGCAAGTCGGGTAAT